TACACACACATATATATATATATATATATATATATATATATATATATATATTTTTGATCCTAAATTGGTATAGCATGTTGGGCTACGGCGTTTAAAAAGAAAAGTTGAAAACACGGAGAATTTTATTTTGACACATTGTAATTTGAAAACAGTATTTTGTTTTTCATTTGTACATGAGCTTTTGAAAGTTAGAGAGTTGTGTCCCTTTAATTGTTTTTTATCAATAGGAGCCAATATGGCGGAATTCGAAAACAATCGCAGTAATGAAAACTTGAGAATCCAAAATTTCAGTCTTGTTGTTCCGAATATGGTTCAGAACGTTTTTAACTTGCTCACGGAGTCGTCCTGATTCCAGAATGACATGATATGTTGGGCTACGGCCTCTTGGGGTGAAGCTGAATCTGTGACACAGTGACATTCTCATTTATTATGTACATTCAAGACCATCACTTGATAAGACACCAGAAGTATTGAAACAAAATGCCTATTTTTGTAGTAATTTTATAACATATTTGTTATAATTTTCGAATAAATTATATTTGCTCTATTCTGCATTGAGCACTCTTTTAAGAATAGTATTTTTTTGTTTTTTGAATTTATTATATATATATATATATATATATAATGATAATGGACTCCCCCGTCGGTTTCGACGTATGAGGATCTGACAGCTTATTGATTCAATTATAAAAGTTAGTGCGATAATCTTAAGTGCCATTTAAGACCCGCCAGTGATTTACAAAGGCGGCCACATATGGAGCAAGTGTGAGGATTGTGAGATGAGATCGCTTTTAGATTGGTTGACCCTTTAGATCTTGCTCTAGCTTCTTGAAGATGACTCAGACAAGCAGATTGAAAATTGCTGAGTCCACTAAAACACGTTGATCTCCATTCTACCCTTTCCTAGGCTAAGCGCTCAAGGGTGTTATGTGGTATATTGACTGCTGACAAGCTGTGGATAAGAACGAATCAAGGCAAAACCCCAGAAAACCCACACAAGTGATTTGATTAAAGTGGTGAAAGCTTGTGCAGAAACATCCACACTTTCCGGAACTATTGATACACTTAGTCGGTGCAAATAAATGCCACAGACGAAGCAGACAACATAACTCAGGCTTTTCGTGTAAGAGTTTTCCATCTCCTAGACCAATTTTGTTCTATAAAATATATATATTGAATGCTTTTCTTTTACGTTAAATATATATATATATATATGTGTGTGTGTGTGTGTGTGTGTGTGTGCGTGTGTGTGTGTGTGTAGTGCTGGGCAAAAGTAAGTGGACCCCTAAGATAGTTTTAAAAAATTGTCTTTTTTTTTTGTTTACAGATAATCAACAAATCTTAATCAAACTACATATTTATTAAGAAAAATCATTATTACAATCACTTTCATTTTTTTTTTTTTATCAGGCTGGAATAAAACAATTAATTAAAAATTAAGATTTGCAAAAGTAAGTGAACGCTTACATTTGCATCTTTATTTTTGTTTTCCATGGTTGCCAGTGCAAATAATTCTTTTGCACGTGTAGAAATCAAAATGAAACGAGTTCAGTTTTTGGTTAAGTTTCGTTTACTGCAGTCAACCAATTCATTGTGTATGTAAAAAAGATGCATTTCGAGACTAAATTTTATAAAATAGGCCAAGATAAAAAAAAAAACTTCCCGAAGAATTAAAAAATCGCATAGTTGAAGGTTATAATGATAGAGAAGACTACAAAATCCTATCCAAACGATTTGTAATGTACGTCTAAACCATACGACAAATTAATTATAAATGGAAGGCCTTTGGTATGACGACATCGCAAAAAAGCAGTGGCCGTTCGCTAAAAATAACTGCAGGAGCAAGTAAGTATCTAGATCAGCAAGTCCAGACGAATCTTGTCGTGATCTCCGCGGCTCTCTAAATCAATTTTTAATTAATATTTATATTACAGCTTGATAAATTCTTTTGAAAGTGCTTACAATTCGTTTAATAAAGGTTTTCTTAATGAATACATACTTTAATTAAAATTTGTTGATTATCTGGAAAAAGAGACAAGTTTTTGACTTAGGGGTTCATGTATTTTTCACAGCACCACACACACACACACACACACACACATACACACACACACACACAGACATATAAATATATAAATATAAAAGTGAACTTAGAAGTCAACACTTAGAGGCGACAGTCTGTTTCATGCTAGATGCAATCGTCAGGCCTGACGATTGCATATAGCATGAAACAGACTGTCGCCTCTAAGTGTTGACTTTTATGTTCATTTTTATATTTACACACGCCTATCTCTGATATTGAGCACTTTATCCCATAAATATAGCACATCTTAAGACTATATTATATATATATATATATATATATATATATATATATATATATATATAAGGTTTAAAATTACGCTCAAAATTCTTATACAAACTTATGGTCCCACGTTGACGCAAGATTAAAAGGATTTTTGCCTAAAATTTCGAACATTCTAAAAACTATTAAAAACAATTTTCACATATAAATACTTTGATTTTTCCTCGTACGAGTAACACAAAGATTTTGACAACACAACTTTGTTTTTATTAAGTTTATTCATCATGTATAATAATTTTTAGCGAATCATGTATGATAATTTTTAGCTACCTATATGTATATACAGGGTTCGATGGGTAAATTATCGCCATTTTATATTTTAATTTCGCGCCTGCGCGTCGTTTGCTTCTTTTATTTTGTCGACTGCACGGTAGTTCAGATGGGCACCATGACGCAGTTCACTACGCCAGAAAATTGGAAACTCCATAACGAACATTTCCGAGTGTGTGTGTCAATCTGAGGACAATGTAGAGGATTCAGAAAGAGTTGGATGAATCTGATGGTGATTACGAAGGTGTTTAGAGTGATCACTAATGATGGTGACATTATGTCTCCATTCATCTTTCCACAGGGAGTCCGACTTAACACAGGGGCCGACATAGTGCCTTGAGGAGGTAGTGCTACCCTGGGTCTAAAGGGTGGCTGGTGGGAGACCCTATCTCTGACAATAGAACTCTGCACTATACAACACAAGCAGGAGAACCCAAATATGGTTGTCAGACAATTTCTGCGACCACATCACCTCTTACATCTGCCTACATAACTCCTCAGACTACAGCCATCTTGATTATTATATATATGATGCAGTTGAGTGATAGACCAACAAAACTTATTTTAACAACAAAGATGAACTGAAGGCAAGGATTATGACAGTATGCACCAACTTAAATAAAGAGACCACCCAGAAGAGTTGCAGGAGATTCCGAAGTCATCTGGAGGCCGGGGTTGAATCCAATGGCGATATTATTGAATAAATTTACTCTTAAGTATTTCAAGATATTTTTGTGTAATTTTAGTAAATGCATCTGTTAAAATGAGATGTCAGTGTTATTTTCATTTTTTTTTTTTTTTTTTTTTTTGCGTAATTTAGACGACAATTTATCCATCGCACCCTGTATATAGGTGTCTCTAAAAACTCACCTCCATTTGTAAACTAATAACATAGCCAATTCTCGCTCAAATAATCTCAAATTTTAACAAAATGTGTAAAAACTTACTAAGTTGCCTGCGTGGACTTATTTCAATGAGAATCTACCAAGAAGATGGATCAGGCGTGGATAACAATAATGAAATGGCCACCACGTTCACTTGGCATGACACTGTGATTTTTTTTTCTTTCTATGGGGCTATGTGAAAGGACAGGTCTAAATCCCGCACTTCATACAAGCCTAGAGAAACTTAAGCAAAGAATCACCGAGGCGATGGAGAATGCTACGCAAGACATGCTACAGCGTGTTTGGCAGGAGTTGGACTACCGACTTGATGTGCGTCGTGTCACGTGTGGTGCGCATATTAAACATTTGTGAAGCTTTGTGAAATCGGCTATAAAATCTACATCCCTTTGAATATCTTGTTCGAATCTTGATCAATAAATCTTTTATTGTTCAACATGAAGCTTATTTAATTTCGTTTGCCTGGGACATGCAATTAGTCAGATATTCGATTTTAAATTTTGTCCAATTTGAGGGGACACACTCTCTCTCTCTCTCTCTCTATATATATATATATATATATATATATATATATATATATATATATAATCGATTTCCCCTTCGGGTTTGACGTATGAGGGTCAAGCAGATCAGTTTTCCAGGAAACTGACAGCCCGACACCGGCACATACGATTTGATTATAGTGGTGAAGGTTTTATGCAGAACCACCCACACTTTTTAAAGGGCCGAATATAGAGACTTGGTGCACTACGTGCCACAGGGTCCCCAAACGACCCTCCTCAGGTTTTGAATTCAGAGTTGTCCTTCTCCTAGACCAGTTGAACATCCAAGGCTATAGAACCCAGTCTGTCCTGCTATTTAACCCATAGATGGAGGGAGAAGAATAGGATTCACACCTTTCCCAAGGGTATTAGCACGTAAGTGAATGTAATGGATTCAACCTGGATTCGAACTCCACAATCCAACCGATATCCATTACCCCACCGCGCCTCTTTCTCTCTCTCTCTCTCTCTCTCTCTCTCTATATATATATATATATATATATATATATATATATATATATATATATATAAGCTAGTGAGCCAGAACCTACCTACTAAGGTTTCACCTAACGCATCTTCAGCCAGTAATACCCTGAAGATCCGTTAAGTGAAACCTTGGTAGGTAGGTTCTAACTCCTAGTTTTGGGGGCTTTTTGGTGTATTAAGCACTTTCACGATTTTACTTAATTTACTCTGTCGGTGATTTTTCTTTTGACTAAGAATTGCAGTGCTGATTGATTATTTTCGACCAACACGGATGTCTTTAGTCTTTTCTTTTTTCCCCTGATATCGATTTGTTCCAATATATTCTTATTTACAAAATGTATTATCCGGGTGTTATGGTGTAGAACCATATAAAGATAAGACGGACTCGGATATAAGGTTAAGTAGTATATTCTCGGAAACGTAGTACAAAGGTAAATGTGGACTGGAGAGTACTTTCTCTCACTGGTGTCCTCCCTCGGTGACTCTCACTCGGTCTTTCTCTACTCAGAGTTGGTAGCCATATTATATAGTTGTAGAAGAGTCCATTTGTAGGTAGGTCCCCACAACACCGGGTTTTTTTTTCACGCCGCCCGAGTATAGATATTAAAATAAAAAGATATATATATATGTACAATGTCATTCGCAGACAGTACCGTTTCACAGTGAGATATCCGAAGGCAGGATCGAAACGCAACCAATTTGGTGTCACTCAGAGTTTCTACCACTGAGCTAGCTTCATTTGACAGAGAAAAACAGCTAAATCTAGCGTATTGTTTTTACGAATGTAAAGAAACACCAATCAGCCGGAGTGCTCCAATTCATTTTTACTGAAGAACTTTGCATTAACACAGTTGGGTGTTGTTTATAGAATTAGCCTATCTCTCAACAGTGCTCAATTGAAATATATTTTCAAGAGCATATAACCGTATATAATATATATAACCGTAATTAAACGGATTCAAATTTTTGCCAGTATATAGCGTACAAAATCTTGTCTGTCGCACTCCTTGATCTATCCACTATCCCTCTCCTCATCCTTTCTTCTATCACTCCTATCTGCTCTCGCTCCAAATCTTCAGCAACCCCCTGCATCCTAGTGGCTTCACGCCTTGCTCGGGGCGTAATGCTTAAAAAAAAAAAAAGGAAGAGAAAAAAAAACATGTACTTCGGATAATTTGCTTGTTTACTTTAGGTTGAGGTAAGAGCCAGTTACCCTTCTTAGTATCATGAATGGACTAATCCATTCATGATAAGTAGTCCTGGGTAATTGTCTAGATGAAGACAGGAAGGAAGAAGATAATATTATTGCAGTAACTTTTCTAGCTAAGTATTGAATACTACTATCACGACTGACAAAATGTTATGCCTTACCAAACATGACATCAAAACACTTTACAAATCAGTATTCAATACATTGTAAAAAGTTTCAGTAAGTTTATAACCAATATTCCCAATAATTCAGTGTCAATCTGCATGGGTTTATTATGTTTAGTTTAATCAGGATATAAAATTGAACGAAGAGCTTTACATTGAGGTTCACCGTGAACAAGGCCCGAGGGCTACTAGAGGTTAAAGGTTACAGAGTAAAAGGGAAAGTTTATGCGGATAGGGTTAGGAAGATTACGGTTTAACAGGTTAAGATTATAAACATCCGCTCGGCATTCAGTTCCACAGAGCAGTGGTTCACGGGAAGAAGCTGCTTGACTAGAACTTCTGACCAATGGAATACGAACGAAATGAGGGTGGTTTGCTGCAATAGAAGTGGCAAGGCGGGTCTTAGTCGGCAAGGTTAGAACTGGCAGAACCAAGGAAAGCTCTCTATTACTCATCACAGAGAACAATCCCTGCCCCCATTAGAATGTCTGACGCCCAACTTCTCGAGAGTTCCTCTTTGCCACTACTCGGTCTCACATTGTCCGCTGACCTGAGATGGAACGAATACATTGCGTCACTAGCTTCGTCCACCGCAAGGAAAGTCGGCTCCCTGTGCCGCGCCAGGAAATTTTTCTCGCCGGAGTCAATCCTTCAAATCTACAAATCAACCATTCGCCCTTGCATGGAGTATTGCTGCCATATATGGTCGGGAGATCCTTCTTTCTGTCTCAAGGTCCTTGATAAGATCCAAAGATGGATAACCAATGTAATTGGCCCTAAAATCAACCATTCGCCCTTGCATGGAGTATTGCTGTCATATATGGTCGGGAGCCCTTTCTGTTTGTCTCAAGGTTCTTGATAAGATCCAGAGACGGATATGCAATATAAGTGGCCATGTTCTGGCATCTCTACTACAGTCGCTCTCTCACAGACGCGCTGTCGCCTCTCTCTGTCTTTTTTACAAATACTTTCACGGTAACTGCTCCGATGAGCTGCTTTCGCTGGTTCCCAGACTTCATGAATTTAAGCGTTCTACTTGGTTGGCATCTCGCTCACACCCTTTCACTGTAGAAACTGTTAAATGTAGCCGTCTCTTCTACTCCAATAGCTTCATGTCTCGCACCTCTCGCCTGTGGAACTCCCTGCCCTTTTCCTGTTTCCCTGATATCTATAATCCCCAATTACTATTCAATATAATGTCAATCGACGTCTCCAGATGCCCTGATCTATCCCCTATCCTTCTCTTCATCCTTTCCTCTATCACTCCTGATTGGACTCACTCCAATTCTCTGTAACCCCTTGCGTGCTAGTGGCTTCCCGCCTTGTTTGGGGTGAAACGCTTAAAAAAAAAAAATAGTTCGTCTGAACACTTTCCTTGGAAATAGCGATACATCAGTGAGAGGTTTGCTACATCTCGTCTGTGAGAGAGAGGGGTGGAAAATAATTTCTCACTCACAAGGACGCGGAGACGATTTGGGAATCTATCGAAATCGGTAAGAGAGGACTGGGCCGCTTGCGCCCAAATATGACAGCAATACTTCATTTTTAGGTCTGGTCTGGCTCTTGTAAGGGTAGGAGGAGCCAGGTACATACTCGGACGGTACAGGGAATCGATCATATTTCCTGCATATTTAGTATGTATGTACGAGTTCCACTTGAGGTATGGGGTGAGTTTAAGGCCCAATCGTCGCTCAAGACACGGAGCTTCCCAGCGGAGACATCCATTCATCGTGACGGTTGGCAGTACAGGGTCCGATCGGCGATGATGGAGTATAACTAGTCTAGTTTTGGGGGAACTGAATGTAACCAGCCAGTTTTTCCCCAAAGTGATGTTAGAGTTATATCGGAGAAGAGATCAGCTGTTATCATCTCTGGTCGTTTAGATTTTTGGAGGTACAGGTCTGCTTACCTGAGCCACGCTATATATGAATGAATACTTCGGCTTTAATCTAGATATATGAAAGAAATTGGTCAGGTTGTATCATCAGCGTAGATATTCACAAATAATCGGAGTATACTCTTAGGCAGATTATTTATATAAAGTAAAATTGCGTTGGTCCGAGAAGTGACCCTGCATTGATTGCGAGGGCCCCAACGGACTGGCCGTTAACAACTACCTTCAGGAATCTACTCTTTAGGAAGGACTTTATAACTGAAGACTCTTCAAGTGATTCCATTAGTTAGAGACCTTGAGCATCTATCCTTTGTGCCACACCTTGTCAAAGGCCTTCGAAATATCTAATGCTACGCCCCTTGGGGTGTATTTGTTGTCTAGTGCCTCACTGATACTGTGAGTATCCATCAGCTATCCAGCAATGTGCTAACATACGCATCAGCGGACAGCACCGATCGAAACCCGTACTGCTTGTCACTCAAGAGGCTGTTCTTATCTAGGTGCTCAACAACCTTTTTGCAGATTATAGCCTCAAAAACATGCTAGTGCAAGAATCTGTTGCGCCAGATTTCTAAACCGTGAAGATTACTTTACAAATCAGTATTATTTTCTTTTTATATGCTATATCCATACAGGACGTAGGCGATCATGGCTCCCCATCTCCCTATATTCCTTGCAGCTCTCAGCAAGTCCCTTCCCGCTGCCCCCCCCCGACCACGTTCTGTTATCCACCTGCTCAATCTTGTCAGGTATGTCACGCGCTGTTTTCCCTTGTCTCTCTTTCCCTCTATTCGACCCGGGAGTATCAGATTCTCCAGGCCCTCTTTCCTCATTATGTGTGCCAGAAACTTCAGCTGCCTCTTTCTGATGTTAAGTATAACCCTCCTCCTTGTTTGTAACCTCTCTAAGACCTCATTGTTGCTCAGATGCTCGGTCCATGATATCCTTAGCATCCTTCTGTAGAACCACATCTCCGTCGCCTCGTGTCTCTTCTTCATCTTTGAGGAAATCGTCCAACATTGCTGTAAAGAAGAACAGATGTTATGTAACAGCTCAGTATTCTTTTCTTTGTTACCAAAGAAATCCTCTGCCCAGCGTTTGGAATGTGTCCTTGGCCATCCCAATACGTCTACGGATTTCAGTGTCGCACTTACCGTCCTCAGTCAAGACGCTTCCCAGATATTTAAACTTCCGCGTCTGCTTGATTCTAGTTTTCCCGACCTGCAAATCGCAATCAGTATTCAGTATATTCATATTAGGTTACTCTATAAGTGTTATCTCGTGTCATAAGTGACTAAACCGGTTTCCTCACCAGGCTTTTCTGGTGTGTAGTGTGGCTAGACACACAACAGGATTAAAAGCATGGCTTGTCAAAGGGTGGATGAACATTTTTGAAGCGTCAACAGCGATTTAGCATGCAGCCAGTGTAATGATAACGCAGATTCCTAGACTGAAGGATTCAGTGACGAAGAAGCCATCGGCTGAGGTTTGACCTGAAGAGGGATGGGCTCCGCCAGGTCTATTTAATCCAGATATGTGGAAAGAATTGGTCAGGTGCCCCTTGGATAAAGGCGTTGGTTAGATCCAGTGACAGGGCCCAAAGAGCGTGAGTTCAATACCCGGTTAAGGCAGTGGAGAACTTTCAGAGGGAAATTAACAGGAGATAACTGATAACTGACTTCCGTTAAACATGGCACGTGTGTTATGGTTTTTTGGGTATATATACCTATAACTAGTGAGTGAGTCAGAATGACTTATTTCCCTTTATAGTCGACCAATGGAAGGTTGACCAATCAGAAGCCGCCCAACACTGTATTCGTCGTGTATAAAGGCGGCCATCTTGTTTCCTCTACCGGAAGGACCAAAGGCGACCAGGAGAAGGAGAAGGATGAACTACACTCTGCTGTGATATCCACTGCGAACCTCCACTACGCTTTCCTACTGTCTCCGAAATATTCACTGCCAACCTCTAGATTCTATACTCGAGGACGACCGTCATGAAAATGTCTAACAACGTGGAACTAGAACAGTCTACCCCAGTGAGCGAAATAAAGGGTTAAGTTCGACATTCCAACCACCTGAAGAAGGCCGGAGCGTACAACGGCCGAAACGTTGTAATAAATATGGTGACAAAGGTGAGGACAATATTAAATAGGAATAGTGTAAATAATGTGAGTAAAAGACAGCGGAAAATATGATCCAGAAATCCGGGGACTTATAGCAACAACGAAATATACTTACCGGAAACTAAGCAAAGTATTAAGACATAGGTAACTATAGGCTATGTAATACCTAAAACTCTAATGGCAATGAATACTGAACAATTCCCTTGACAGTGATATGATTCTGCCGACGAATACTAAAGGGTACCCTTTGTCATTTCTACAAATATTTTCATGGCAACTGCTCCGAGGAAGTACCCCAACTGCATTAATTTAAGCGTGCTACTAGGTTAGCATCTCGGTCCAACCCTTTCGCTGTCGAAACAGTTAAATACAACCGCTTCTTCCACCCCAACAGCCTTTTCTCTCGCACTACCCGCCAGTGGAACTTCTTTCCTTCTACTTACTTCTCTGATAACTATAATCTTCAAATATTCAAATGTAATGTCAATCGACATCTTCTGATGTCTTGATCCTGATCCCCGTTCTTCTCTATCTCCTTTCCTCAAACACCCCTCTTTATTCGCTCTCTGTAAACCCCTTGCGTGCTAGTGGCACTCTCGCCTTGCTTTGGAGGAAAATGCTTCAAAAAAAAAAAAAAAAAAAAAACTACCCCGGGTGGAATATATGAGCAACGAGGAAATCTTAAGGAAGATATAAACTAAACGGAAACATATACTTACAACTAGAAAAAGACAATAGGTAATAACGAGGAAAGAAGGCTTAGAGAAGTTAACACTCACGGGAGAAGGAAAAGCAATAGAGGGAAACGGCGAGTAACCTATATAAGGTGTTTGAGTGAATGGATAACAGAACAAGAAGTGTAATGTGTAAAAATGGATCAGAAAAAAAAACAGGATGTTTGGAGAGATATGACGAGCAAGGGTCAGAAAGATTTTGCCCAAATAAAAGAAGAGTTTGGTGCTTTTATTTGGCCTAATTCTGGTCGTCTTTGTTTACGAAAGACACATCATTCTCTTCGCTTTACAAGCATTACCAGGATGTTTTTCATTTGCTATTGGTTTTTGAAATTGTTTACTTTTTGTTATACAATTATTGTAACGTTTGAATTATTTCTTTGGTTTCATCTTGAGTGTTTTCTTTTAATAACTTCCTTGATTACACGTGATCTTCAGAATTTCTGATAATGTTTGTCAGGACTGGATAAAGGAAACGTTTTTTTTTGTTTTTTTTTCTTAAAAAACTGTTTCTCCCTGTATATCTAGCTAGCTCATATCTATCCGTCTGTCTGTCTGTCTATCTTTCTATCTGGGACTGTTCGCATCTATCTGGGACTGTTCTCATCTATCTATCTATCTATCTATCTATCTATCTATCTATCTATCTATCTATCTGGGCCTGTTCACGCCTATCTATCTATCTATCTATCTATCTATCTATCTATCTATCTATCTATCTATCTGGGCCTGTTCACGCCTATCTATCTATCTATCTATCTATCTATCTATCTATCTATCTAACTATCTATCTATCTTCATCTATCTATCTATCTATCTGTTGTTCACGCCTATCTATCTATCTATCTATCTATCTATCTATCTATCTATCTATCTATCTATCTATCTGTGTCTGTTCACGCCTATCTATCTATCTATCTATCTATCTATCTATCTATCTATCTATCTATCTATCTATCTATCTAGTTGGGTCTGTTCGCGCCTATTATCTATCTATCTATCTATCTTTTTCTTTTTTCTATATTTTTACCTTTACTTGCCTGTGGCTTCTTGTCCTGATTTTCCCCCCTCTTAATTTTTTATCTTTTTATCCTTCTAGTTTGTTACTTTTTTTTGTTGTTTAATTTTGATCATTTCACTCTCTCTCTCTTTCCTCTTTCTCTCTCCCCTCTCTCTCTCTCTCTTCCCCCCTCTCTCTCTCTTTCGCCTCAGTCTTTGCGTTAATTAATCCAATTATTTTCACTGATTGGTAATTCCATTTTAATTGCGAGTAAATTCTTCCCCATCATTCAACATTGTTTGCTTACTGACTGCAATTATTTTTGTCCCCATTACTGCCTTACCATTAATTCCTCCTGTTTTCGTGAAGGATTCTTACTAAACAAGGTCACTTTCAATCTTCTACTAATATTCTTTGCAGGGAAATAAGGAGGAGGACATTTTCTCAGCTGTTTTCACAATTCTTAAGGTGCAAGCCTCTAGAATACGTGTCGCTTCCTTTAACCATTTTTAATTTTTGACTCCGATTCCGTTCGCTTTCATATTAGTTTCACTTCGTTACGATTTCAGTGCGAAATTCCAAAATACCTGAAGAAGGCCGGAGCGTACAGCGGCCGAAACGTCGTGAATATTGCAACGAAGGCGAGGACAACAGTCTGAACAATGTAAATAGTGTAAATTAACATCATATCGTTTTATTGATTTCTATGTACTTGTGTGTGTGTGTGTATTTCAAGTTTTAAGGTTGCATGCAATAGAGGAAGAAGGTTACTACGCCTTATGACAAGCAAGGGTACCGAGGAGAGGAAATAGACGCCTTGACTCTTTGAATGTCGGTAACGAAGATAGTGAATTGGACGTTTTCAGGAGTGAAGAATCCGTTTCTCAGACAGGAAAATTTTCCGTTGTATGCTGAGATAACTTTTATTATTTTCATTTTATTTATTTTATTTCGAACAAAGTTTTAATGTTATTTGTTTTATTTTATTTGATTTATGATATTATTATTATTATTAGTATTATTTGTGTATGTTATGTTTCCTGCTTCGATTGGAATTAGCCAATGATTTTACCAACCATTCCAATAAACAATATAATAAATAAATGTTTATTATTTTTGTTGCCAATTCTCAAGAACAAAGAAAATGCAACTATTCGCTTTCATCATATGTTTGGTTTTCATTAAAATTCTAGCCTGGTCGCAGTACACTTGGGAAAGGTATGAATTCACCTCTTCCTCCCAGCTATGGGTTAATTAGTAGAACTTGTATCAGTAAAAATCATTATTATCTAAAAAAAAATTCTCACAATCTGAAAATACTTTCTAGCTTTAAATAACATGCAAAAGGCAGATAAGCCGTAAAAAACAAATCAATCAAATCGATTTGAAAGTCCTCAAGTGATGCGGTTTTTGTTATTGTTGTGACCAGAAATAAAGATACAAAGAGAGGAATTGAGTTAAACAAATATATTAACAGAAACATTAATACAAACATATATATAAATGTTCGGTCCGACTGTCAGAGCTGACTGCTGGAAACTTCCCTCCCAAAAGGCAGTACCTGCTCCTATTTATAGCGGGAGAGTCCATGTATGCGTGGGTAAATTACCATAACACTATCTATCTATCTATCTATCTATCTATCTATCTATCTATCTATCTGTTGTAGCCTTGTTAGGGCCAGAAATAAAGACATAAGAGAGGAATTGAGTTAAACAAATATATTAACAGAAAAACAGTAATACAAACATATACAAACGGGAGTGTTACAGCAAGAATGTTCGGTCCGACTGTCAGAGCTGACTGCTGGAAACTTCCCTCTACAAAAGGCAGTACCTGCTCCTATTTATAGCTGGGTTAGCCCATGCATGTGTGGGTAAAATACCATAACAGTTATTTGTTACAATACTTTGCTTGTGATTCTGTAGCGCCAATCTACAAAGTTCGAAAAATTATGATCCTCGATAAGCCCTACAGGCTTCATTCGCTTGAAGTCAATTTTAATCATTGATCCGAGAAAGCGGTTGTGTACCCCTGGATGCTTAGATAATTCTGAACGAATCTGGCGCCAGGGTTCATCCAAGCACTCTCTATCTTGCAAATATCGTGACATGCCACTGACAAGAATTTTTTTTAGTAAAGGCAAGACCACCCATAAATTCGTTAGGTTCCTTCTAAAAGCAGTTCATGATAAAAAATGATGAGGTAACAATATTATCAGTTTTATTAATTACACATATTTTAATTTGTATTTGCAATGCAAGTTATTGCAATAATTATTATTACTCACATTATGCAATATTACTTTTATCAAACGCAATAAAAAATTAATAAGAAAAAGCTTACTGTTTTTAGAGAACAGAATTGCAAACTGATATCACACTAAAGACCTTTCCATTCATGCAATAGTAGCCCCGGGTGACAATTTAGTACATTTTTAGTATTTACAATATTATTATTTTCAAAGGGGAAAGTCATTTTAAAAACAAAACAAAATCAAGCAAACAACACTCGTATGCTTAGAGAGATTCCTATTTATTGAAATAATAAAGTATGTATGCCTCCTTTTTGTGCATTTAGTTTCATTTTTGTCTACGTATTTTTTTTTTTTCAAAATAATAATTTCATTTTTTTTTTATTATACCCACTTGTTTCTGCTTTGCATTTACTTAAAAATACTCACTGGATATTTTTTTTTACCGCAATGAAAGTAAAAAAATCGACCCCGTCACTATTTTAAAATATTTATCAAAAATCAGAGAATTATTCGATTCAAACAAATTTTTCGAACCTATTCATTAAAGAATGAATATTTTACTGAATATGTTATTTTATTAAAGAAATTGCTGGGGTGTATGTTTCACATACCCTTTTCAATATCGCTTGAATACTTTTTTTAATTTGGAGAGGTGTTCGTCCAAATTTTTTACAGTTATATAAAAAGAAATTCACGAATATATTAATTCTATTATTTCAGTAAAAGATTTATGCAATATCGAGTGGGAACATACGGAAAATTCGACCCGCCTCTTGCCAATAACAACTCTATAAAACACAACAAATAATTTTTTTGAGAATTGGTGCTTGTATAATTTAATACCTAATTTTCTTTCAGATTCGATAGTAAAAATAAATCTAAACATGATATCTATTTTTTAAAATCTACTTTTGTAATTTTTCAGTGCAATGTTGAAATGAATCCGTTTTTCGTTCGTCCTAAGAGTTTATTTTCTGTTTACCTCGGACTTCTTGACAAGATCCAGAGACGGATATGTAATATAATTGGCCCTGATCAGGCATCTCGTCTACAGTCACTCTCTCACAGACGCTCCGTCGCCTCTTTTTGTCTTTTCTACAAATACTTTCATGGTAATTGCTCCGATGAGCTGCTTTCACTGGTTTCCAGACTTCATGAATTCAAGCGCCCTACGAGGCTGACATCCCGCTCTCACCCTTTCACTGTAGAAACTTTTAAATGTAGCCGTCTCTTCTACTCCAATAGCTTCATACCTCGCACCTCTCGCCTGTGGAACACCCTTCCCAATTACTATTCAATATAATGTCAATCGACATTTCCAGTTGCCTTGATCTATCTACTATCCTTCTCCTCATCCTTTCTTCTATCACTCCTATCTGCTCTTGCTTCAAATCTTCTGCAACCCCCTGTATCCTAGTGGCTTCACGCCTTGCTCGGGGCGTAATGCTTAAAAATAAATAAATTAAATTAAATAAAGACATATTTGAAGATTTTAAACAAATGCAGAATTTCGATGCCCAAATGTTTTTAACCCCTCCCCGACGACTGTTTTGGGAAAAAATGTTTCAATTGCAGACAGATTTGAGGTACCTCGAATTACATAAGCGATGGCTAACATCTCCATTTGACTATTGGACATGTTTCAACTCAGAAGGGCATAAAAAAAAAAAAATCAATATCGACGTATAAACACGTCTGTAGCTGGTTTTTCAACTTTATGTTTATTCATCCGTGTCTGAAAAAGAAACTTTCAGCACAAACGTATATACACGTCAACGTCGGGGAAAGAGAATTTTATTTATTTTTTTCCTTTTAGAAACTATTATTTTTGGTATGGATGTACAAAAAGAAAATAATTCTTGCGTTGACTGACGTAGGAGTATTTTGATATTAATCTAATTTCATATATTCCTTTCAGTCAATATAAATGTAAAATTAATCATACTAAATTTAATGATTAGCGTATAAAATAAAAAAATATATAATCAGAAACTATTGCTTATATAAGGTTAAAGAAAATTTAGTTTTAAAGATAAATAACAAATTTTTGATTATTGCACTTCTGGTCTTCCGTACTACTATAGGTTTTAGCTTTACTTTTTTCTGCGCTTTTTAGGACAGAGATAGAATAACTGTATTTCGACCTTGTCTTCCAAGGCTACTGTGCGTAAATATAACGTTGTTTCATTCTGTTTTAAGTAAAAGGTAAGCATTACTTTTGAAAAATCCAGTTAATTAATTCTTAAATTTATTAAAAGGCTTCAAAACATTTCAACCATTCGCTCTTGCATGGAATACTGCTGCCATATATGGTCTGGAGACCTTCGACAAAATCCAGAGACGGATATGCAATGTGATTGGTCCTGATATGGCATCTACAGTTACTTTCTTACGTATGTGCCGTCGCTTCCCTCTGTCTTTTCTACAAATACTTTCATGGTAATTGCTCCGACGAGCTACTTTCGCTGGTTCCCAGACTTCATGAATTTAAACGTGCTACTAGGTTGGCATCTAGGTCCCACCCTTTCACTGTCGAAACGGTTAAATGTAGCCGTCTCTTCTACTCCAATAGCTTCATGTCTAACACTTCCTGTCTGTGGAACTCCCTTCCTCTTACTTGCTTCCCTGATAGCTATAATCTTCAATTATTCAAAAGCAATGTCAATCGACATCTTCAGATGCCTTGATCTATTTCCTCGTCTTTTTCATCCTTTCCTCTATCACGCCTCTTCACTCTTGCTCCCACTCTTCTGTAACCCCTTGCGTGCTAGTGGCACTCCTGCTTTGCTTGGGGTAAAATGCTTAAAAAAAAGAAAAAAGAAGAGATATAGAATTTCAAAGAGATTTTGAAATTTGTTGTTTACATTTTTTCGTATACAGTGGCGGTTCGATTAGTGACAAAATAAGTGCTAATGCTTTTAAAATGCCTACAAAGTTTATTTTTATAAGGATTTTTTTTCTTTTAATTCGGATTAGCTTAAGATAATTCTCTTTCAAATAGAACCGTAATTTAAGTTCAAAGACACATTTAAAATGTGTTTTTTCTGTTTTTTTTTGTTTTTTTTGTTTTAGAATGTCTGTGACGGTGGTTTATTTATTTACTATCATGTTATGTGGTACATCGCTTCCTCATCTTCCAAATAGTTGTTTATAAAAAAAAAAATTATAATATAGTGTAGTGAATTGTATAAATATATGTTGTGTTACGCATATTTAAATTTATTTAATAATGTTGCTATATATTATGAATATCAATTTTTTTTCACACACCTAATAGTTGGGATATAATATACAGTATCTGTTTATATACGCGGATTGATATAAGAATGTGTATAGAAAACGAAATGCTGTATTTCCTATTAAAAATGGCGGAAAAAACAGAAAAATGGCCCTAGCTCAAGATTCCTTTGTCTAATTTTAATGAAATTTTTCACTGCACTCGGCAGGGTTTCAAGGTACAATATACTCGATTGAGGTATTATATATCGTTTTCCGTTGTATCTCGGGAACACACAAGTTTTGGTATTATAGAGATGACTGAGTGAACATAACCAGCCTGTGACAAGATTCGAATTCGCTTTGTTGATTTGGTTTTCACAGCTAATGATAGATATATTACTCGCTATGTACCTAAGCGCTTGATAGGTAAATTCTCTTTTTCATTGCCTATCTGTTAAGGTTTTTCTCCTAATTTATTCTTTTTTTTTTATGTTCATTTCGGTTCAATCGAAGCTCAAATATTTTTGGTGTAAATTGAAAACGAGAGAAATGAATATTCACTTTCTACAGCGATTATTCATTTGCCTTTCCTCGGCTGCGAAATGTGTCGTAGCATTCAAAAGCCCTTCACATCTTTTATATCTCTTATCAACAATACGAACAAAACTTCATTTAGGGTCCACGCTTTTCTTAATCCGTTTCACTGGTGGATGAATCTATTTTGGCAATTCCTGTTTTTGTTTTTTTTTACGAGATTAGAATTTCTTTGTTCTTTCACTTTTATTCTTTCGATCTTATTGTTTATTGTAAATGATAAGGTTCTTTCCCATACTGGATATATCATAAGGGTTTAAAAGATAAAACGGGAAAATAGCGGTACGACAATAGCAGCTACTACTACTAATACTACAACTATTAGTACTATTGCTACGCATTTGCAAAATAGTTATTATAAAGTTTGCCCAAATTGTAATATTAGGAAAAGTAAATAAATCAACATTTATGAAGAGCGTTGACAATAATCTAAAATGTACCGAATGTCATTTCATACAAAACACTTATTTAAATGCATTCCTCGCTTAACGACTCATCTGTTTAACGACCCGTACTTACGACCAACTATAAAATCTTTTCTTCTTCGTGTTGTATTGCTTCAGAACGTTGGCGATCATGGCTCTCCACAATTTCTTGTCCGTTGTAGCTCTTAATAACCTTTATCTTATCTCTTCTAAACCTTGTTCTACCATGCATTTGCTTAAGCTCACTAAGTAGTTTATGTGTTGTTTTCCTTTGTTCCTTTTGCCTTCAATCTGTCCTGTGAGTATCAGATTTTCCAAACCCTCTTTCCTCATTACGAGCCCTGGAAATTTCAATGTCTCTACCTGATGTTAAGTATGAGTTTCCTTTTTGTTTCCATATTCTCTAAAACTTTATCGTTGCTCACATGTTCGGTCAATGGTATCCTCAGCAGCCTTCTGTATAACCACATTTCTGTTGCTTCAAATATTTCTTCATCTCACAAAATAAAAAAAGATCCAACCATTCGGTATTGTACTTTGTACGAAACTTTGATCAGGGAATTTTTCTCTTTATTCTTTTTTTTTTTTTTTTTTCAATTCACCCCAAGCAAGGTAGTAAAACTACTAAGTCACAAGGGGTTGCTGGGTGTGAAAGAATTAGAAAACAAAACAAAAACATTATGAAGGACTGAAGACAATAGAAGCGTAATCAGGAACAAGGGTACCCCGGACAGAATATGTGAGCAACGAGTAAGTCATAAGGAAGATACTAACTAAACGGAAGCATACACTATTTACATTATTCAGTCCTCATCTTTGTTGCCATATTGTATTCATTTCTATCCTTGGTCGGCCCAGGAGATTTTTGTGGCCTAGCATATGTGCTGATTCCTTAAGCTTACGAATTTTCCAATGATAATCTTTGTCTATGATTTCAACCTGATCGCACAGAGGACACTGATCTAACTTTTCCCTCCATATGTGGTCAGCCATGCCTGATTTTTCATGCAATGAAAACATGTAATGATAACAGCAAAAATTGCAATATGAGCACTGGTAAAAATGGTTGCTGAAGACATTAAATTTATAAGTCCCAGAAATTCATACACAGATTAAGATTTGGGCCGATCTATCTTAGAAACGATTAAAGTTATCTTACTGAAATTAGTCGAGGGTTTTATAAACACTATTGGACTCTCCTTTAAACAATAAGAATGTATTTAGCTCTGACTTGAAATGATGACCCCCCTCTTTCTGTTGTGACCTCCTGATCCAGTTTTCCTCTCTACTGTTCCCCCTTTTTAAAACTTAGTCACCGTTCTCTTGATGGTTCTTGAATGGACATTGAAGATGGAAGCCAGATTATGAAAGTACCATTACTGAAGACCTGAATGATCTTTTTCCTCTCACCATTGCTTAGTTGGGAAGACATAGTGGGGCTGACACAAAATTATTTTAACCTGTTCTCTTCCTAGCTGAATAAAAGGATTTATTTTTAGTGATTCTTATGACAAATAGTGTCAAGATGGCCAAACGTCTTATCTGAAAACCTGGAAAAAGAAACTCAGTTAGTTTAGTGTTTTTTTTAAAATATATATATATATATATATATATATATATATATATATATATATATAATTATTTAAAAAATATGAATCCAACGCTACATAAGAGTTCTCATGTTTCAAAACAAGAAACGAAAACTTCAATATAATTATTTGAATTGAGTTAAAGTACCAAGCTCTGTTCCATCTGAAAGCGAAATTTTATTTTTATTGAAGTTTTCGGCTCTTGTTTTAAAACATGTTAACTCTTATGTAGCGTTGGAATCATATTTTTAAATAAATAATTATATTTATGCTCTACTTTTGTATCGAGCACTATTTTTTTTAAATAATAACAAAAATACTAAAGAACTTTGGATTATTTACCTAACGAGTTCTTTCCTATTTTCTATATATTTTTACACACACACACACACACACACACACACACATATATATATATATATATATATATATATATATATATATATATATATATTAAACATTTTGAGATGGACAATTATGCTGTTACACGATTTGGACAATTTTGATGTTACACCCGGTATATGGCATCAGTAGTCCATTTACGGCCTGATCGGGATCGTGTAATAGTAGAGGATTGCAGGAGGAGTCAGGTACTTGCTGGACCGGTTAGAAGGAACCGAGTATTTCCTCAGCATCTTTAGCGATGGATCGTATCTACGAGTTGAGGTCTGGGCTGGGTTTAAGTCCTAATAGGCACTCAAGGTAAAGGGCTCCCCTGGCAGAACACGCGTTCATAGCGATAGGTCAAAAATTTAGGGAGCACGCAGGTGACATATGGCAGCACGCAGATGACACCGTGTTGATGCTAGACACAGAATGAAATCTATAAGAACTTCTAGAAAAGGTTGTATAGGAACGCGTAAAGAAAGGACTAAATATCAATTCCTTGGTGCACACTGCTAGTGAAGCGGCCATGTTTTCACTGTAACAGCAGCAAGACAACTGGCGCGATCAAGCTCAAACTTCGATCACGTGACAACAGTTATACCGACTATAAGCACGTATGAGCAGAAGGCAATGTAAGAAACTTACGTTATGGCGAAATGCAGATAATCTTTGACTTACCCTCGTAATATCAGTCTTCATATATGGCAGCGGATGCTGAGCAATTTCCTTACAAATGTAGAGCAGAGGTAACAGGGATGTAGCTCTTTAGAGGATGCTGAGAATACCATGAACACAGCATGTAAGTAATGAGGAAGTTGTAACGTTAATAGGAACGAAAAAGACACGAACTTAGAATCCGAAAGAAACAGTTGAAATTTATAGGACACACAACAAGGAAAGAGGGCGAGGAGAATTTGACCCTCAAAGGGCATAGTGAAGAAGAAGAAGAACAAATCGAGTAAGCTTCCTAATGAGCTTGTGTAAATTGACAACAGACCAGAGAATGGGAGAGATAGTAAGGTAACAAATATTGCTTAGAGCTATAAAGGATAGGAAGTTGTGGAGATCCACAATCGCCCACGTTGTGATGGAATATGGGGTATATTATGAAGTGACACGACACATAAAAGAAGATCGCACTTACGATTTGATATTCTACTTGCACCGAGGATTTTACAAGCAAACGAAAAGATCGGAAGATAGGGCCTTCCTTCAAGGTCTCATTATTGTTTCCGTGCCGACGAAATTTCTATCAACATGATTATTTAAGGGCATTTACCGATTGAGTCACGACACTCATCTACATGGCGAATATTTGTGTTCACAGCTGCTGTAGCAGGAGGAATGGCAGTCAGATTTTTGTTGAAAGTAATAACCGTTTGAAGGCTTTGTCTTGGATTCTCTTCGTGAGATACGCGGAAGAAAGTCAAAATGCAAAACGGTTTTGAATTTTGCTGTCAGCGATTGACCGGTTGGCGTAGGATCACGACTTTGAGAAGATCGACGCCAAGTTGTGGCAATTATGTCTGCCAACCTGCCTGACTTTTAAGCGGGAATGGGAGAAAACAACATGACGAGAACAACAAATGAAAGACAAAAAAAAAAAAAAAAAAAAAAAAAAAAAAGAAAAACAGAGGATGAGAAAAAAGGATGACAAGAATGTAAAATCGGAAAAAAAAGAGGCAGAGAAGATATAGGAGAAGGAGGAGAGTAGGAGGAAGGATAAAAAAAGAAGAGGAGGAAGAAGAAAATTCATTAGAAGCGGGAAAAGACAACGTGAAATAAGGTGAAAACAAATGAAGGGAATGCGAGAAAGGGGCGGGAAGGAATAGAAAAGTGGGAGGAGAAAGAAGTGACGAGAGCCTAAAGCGGAAAAGAAGAAGAGGCAAAGATATTGAAGAAGAAAAGAAAAGAAAAAGAAGATGAGCAAGACGACGACGATAACGACGAAGAAGAAACAGATGCAATCGCTGAAAAGTAGATGAAAAGGACAGGAGACGACAAGGGGACAATGGTAAAAGAAAGGACATAAGAAAGAGGACATGACAGAAAAAAAAGCAGAACACCGCGAAAGGAAGAAGAAGAAGAAGAAAGAAAGAAAGAAAGAAAGAAAGAAGGAAAAAGAAGAAAAAAAAGAAGAAAAAGTGAATTTATACATTTATTTCTGTTCTTGAAAATTTACAACAAAAATATTAAACATATTTATTAGATTGTTTATTTACAAGAATAGTTTTATATTTTAAAAACTCATACAATTAATTTGTTTGCAATATTTATCATTAAACAATTTATAAAGAAATAAATGTGAAAACAATAGTTATCATATATTTATAAACATCTACTAAAAAATCTGCGAACCAACTTGTAATGACAAAAGTACACAGACGTAGGCTTTAAGAAAGCTTTATTCAACTGAGAATACAACGTTCGCGTATAGTGTCCTTTTATAGTCCCAGTAAACAGAAATAGCTCTCTCTCAAAGACGAGAATAACAAAACCAGGGGTGACCACTCTGGATTATTCATAACGCAATTACAAGAAAATTCCTCATTATTTACCATTTTATAAAGTTCGAATGGATTACCAAGTAGCTGATGTTTGCCAAACATTATAATATAATAAGTAGTGTAAATAAACAATCTGATAAGTAAATAGTGTTTATTATTTATGTTGACACTTCTCAAGAGTAAAAGAAATGTATACATTCACTTTCATATGTTCAGTTTTTATTACAATTCTAATGATCGCCTTTTTTAAAAAAATAAACATTTCCGAAGTCAGTTTAAATAGTCGGTGCCACGGGAAACACCGTCCTTTAAATAATCAGTCTTATTGAGGACATGTTTATCTATGTATTATGAATAATCAAGAGTGGTCTCCCCTTGTTTTTTCTCTCTCCTCCTTGAGAGAGCTATTTCAGTTTACTGGAACTATAAAAGGACACTATACGCGAACCTTGTATTCTCAGCTAAATAAAGCTTTCTTAAAGCCTACAACTGCATATTTTTATCATTACATCATATTTGCCACCTCCTTCACCTTGAGAAATCAAATCTTTTTAAAATTTAATTTTAAACTGCGTAAAATTTAAATTTTAAGCCACGTAAAATTATTCCCCAAATAACAAAGTAAAGCTAGAAGACTGTTTTGTTTTGAAAGTTTTTATTTAATTTTTTTTTTAATAAAGTATTCTGTAGACTTTTGGGTTATAAAAAAATCCTGGATTATTTTTTTTTAATTTAATTTCCTTTATTTAATCAATAATTTAAAACAAATATTTTAAGTGATTTATCCTGAATTGATCTTCAGTCATTATGTTTTAATAAATGAGAAATATAACGTTTAATAAGGACATTTCATAAGGTGAAAAATTTAATAAATGAGAAATATAACGTTTAATAAGGACATTTCATAAAGTGAAAAATTTAATAAATGAGAAATATAACGTTTAATAAGGACATTTCATAAGGTGAAAAATAACGTTTAATAAATGAAAAAATTTAATAAATGAGAAATATAACGTTTAATAAGGACATTTCATAAGGTGAAAAATTTAATAAATGAGAAATATAACGTTTAATAAGGACATTTTATAAGGTGAAAAATTTAATAAATGAGAAATATAACGTTTAATAAGGACATTTCATAAGGTGAAAAATTTAATAAATGAGAAATATAACGTTTAATAAGGACATTTCATAAGGTGAAAAATTTAATAAATGAGAAATATAACGTTTAATAAGGACATTTCATAAGGTGAAAAATTTAATAAATGAGAAATATAACGTTTAATAAGGACATTTCATAAGGTGAAAAATTTAAAAAATTTAAATATAACGTTTAATAAGAAATTTAACGTTTAATAAATGGAAATTTTATAATTTCATGAAAAATTTAATAAATGAGAAATATAACGTTTAATAAGGACATTTCATAAGGTGAAAAATTTAATAAATGAGAAATATAACGTTTAATAAGGACATTTTATAAGGTGAAAAATTTAATAAATGAGAAATATAACGTTTAATAAGGACATTTCATAAGGTGAAAAATTTAATAAATGAGAAATATAACGTTTAATAAGGACATTTTATAAAGTGAAAAATTTAATAAATGAGAAATATAACGTTTAATAAGGACATTTCATAAGGTGAAAAAATTGCCCCCACCATTAAAATAATGAAATGTTGACCATATCTTTTATTTTGAATCTTTTAACCTTTTTAATTTTTAATTTTTTATACGACCGCTGGATTGGATGGGGATGTTATTCTGCATTTTTATGTTTTCGATCCTGGGTAAAAAACGGAGTTTTCGAATATTGAATTTCAAATCAGGCAGATCATTTTTGATTGACGCATCTCATACCCATTTCTCTTCATACAGCTTTGTGTCAGACTAATCTAAGCCGAGGAAAATGTGAAAATTGATGAACACAAAATAAGTTCAGACAACGTAAGAAATTAATTAGAAAGTTAGTTAGTAATGAGGACAAGTAATGATCTAGGTTTATAGAACACTGCTCCCAAATACTTGGATCTTAGGGTCTACCCGAAAACGCACAAAGCAGGCATTTCAATGTGACGCATCGTATCTGGAATTGAAAAAGCTCGCCATAGACAGGCGAAAACCATAACAAAAATTTTAACACCATTTCTTGGAAAAAATCTTCTTCTATGTGCCGTGTCTCTTCAGAACGTAGGCGATCATGGCTCTCCACAACTTCCTGTCCTTTGTAGCTCTTAATAAATTTTGTCTTTTTATTATCTCTCCTAAACTCTGTTCCTCCATCCATTTACTCAAACAAGTAAGTTATGCGTTGTTTTTCCCTGTGTCACTTCGCTCCAAACTATCCTGTGAGTATCAGATTTTCCAAGTCCTCTTTCCTCATTATGTGCTTTAGAAATTTCAGCTGCCTTTTCCTGATATTAAGAATAAGTGTCCTTTTTGTTTTTATTTTTCTCTAAAACTCCGTCTTTGCCCATATGTTCGCTTCATGGTATCCTCATCCTCCTGTAGAACAACATTTCTGCTGCGTCGAGTCTCCTTCTCGTCTGTGAGAAGATTGTCCAGCATCTCCTGCTATACAGGAGGACTGATATTACGTAACAGTTCAGTACTCTTCACCAAATATTAAAATTTCAGGCAACCTGGTCGAAAAACTAAATGAGGATAAATATAGCAGATTGATTCATGGCTAGTTTAGATATCAAATCCCTTTTTATATCAACGTTACTGTTAAACAAAAAGTGTAACTATCCAGAGTGCATGTTGGGAGTCTGCTTCTTGCTTGAGGTAGGTGCATATGTCTCGCTCTTTCTTGCAGTTTAGTGTTCGAGCCATGTTATGTCAGGATAACAAATGCCGATTTTAACTTAAGACTGACACAGTATAGACGTTTTGCAAAGCCATTTTCTGATATTTGCCTGATAGTATTTGCCTCCTCTCACCACATTGCCAGAATGAACGTTGCACTATGTTTTTGACAGATGATGATGTTATAAAATAAAATAAGACATATCTCGGCTGATTTACAGGCAAATAAACTAACATACTCAAGATCGAGAGCCGGATGTGAACGGGACAAAGCCCCGTCACAAAATGACCATTATCTTCGTTTACACATGTTCCCGACGCACGAGTTCCGGTCGAAAAATAAAATAATACTTTAAAGTGTTTCTATTTTTCGACCAATAAAAATGCTTCCCTCCTAATTATACTCGCGTCCTTTTTCGAGCCTGTTAAGCCATAAAAAAATTGCCATAAAAGGGGTCACACGGAAGTACAACAGGCAGTCAACAGCAGGCCAGGGAAGTGACCTGTCACGGTCAGGTTGAGCGGTCAGCAGCAGCCAGCAGGGGGAGCGCCAGCGCCAACCAGTGTGAACTACTATGAGAGATCAACCCAGATTCGAATCCGGCTTATGAACTATACCACAAGGTAGCTGTCCCAAACCCACACGTTCCTATTGAAATAAATCACGTAAATCTATTTCTGCTGTTGTCGTATTTCTTTCTTGCAACCATACGCTTGTCTATAACAATGATCTGTCTGCCGAACGAAGACATGTGATCGCCAGCATGCGCCTAGAATGCACGTGTGAAAAAGAACTGTATCCTTAGAGCTCTTTCGGCTTGAAGGCATGCTGTAAATTAGTGTGATTTCTCATTTCCGGCATTATTACCCCGTTCTGAATACGTCTATCTGAACAGGCTCATGTCTGTTTCTTTAATACCCACAGAACCAACCAGTGATTTATATTGCAATTATCCTGAGCGTACCGTACGGTTCGAGTATGTACGCTACTAGAAACACATACTTGAATTGTAACTAAGGTACGCTCGGCTACTAGAGACTATTACGATTTTGAATTCAGAGTTGGCCTTCTCCTATATTGGTTGCCGACCACGGCTAGAGAGTCCAGTCTGTCCTACTATTTAACTCATAGATGAAGGGAGTATAGATGGATTCATGCCTTTTCCAAGGGTATTTGTGCGAAAGTGATTATAACGATCTGAACCCCCGATTCGAACACCGAGGCCTTAACCATGGTACCTCATGTACATCTACATCTAAGATGTATGACAGATATATAAACATCTACTCTAAAGAAGAGGACGTGACACTCTCAGACGAGAATGTATGGTCTACATTTCTACCAGGAGCCGCCCTCACACGATGGCCGACATCTACTGATGGAGCATGGAGTTGAATGACATATGAGGGACGTTAAGTCTCGTGCTAGCATTGATCGGCACAGTAGTGTGCAAAGCTTAGCAAATATCAATATGATGACGCTGATTACGACGGAAATTATAGTGATGATGAGCATGAAGTAAAAATTGCTGTAGATGAGAAGACAGGTAAAATGGGCTGTGAAAGTAGCTCAGGTGAATAGAAAATGGGGAAAAACAAACTGGAAAAGATATAGTGCAGTGACAAAACACAAAATGATGAATAAGATAGCGAGAAGGAGGAGAAGGGGGGGAGGAGGAGGAAGAAGGGAAGACTTTAAAGTATAAGGGGTGAGGAGGAATGAAAGGAGAGTAAAAGGGAGAGGAGAGAAGACAATTTCAAAAAGTTGATTAAGATGGCGGCGGTGATGGCGGTTACAAAAAGGAGATCAAGGGAAATTTAAAAGGGATAAAAGCAAGACAGAAGAAATGAAACAAAACAAAAACAGTGTGCTAGAAGAAGAAAAAGAAGAGGAACATAGAAGAAGAAGAAGAAGAAGGAAGAGGAAGAAGAAAAAGAAGAAGAGGAACGTAGAAGAAGAAGAAGGTGAAGAAGAAGAAGAAGAAGAAGAAGAGGAACGAAGAAGAAGAAGGTGAAGAAGAAGAAGAAGAAGAAGAAGAGGAAGAAGAAGAAGAAGAGGAACGTAGAAGAAGAAGAAGAAGAAGAGGAAGAAGAAGAAGGAAGAAGAAAAAGAAGAAGAAGAAGAAGAAGAAGAAGAAGAGGAAAGAAGAAGAAGAAGAAGGAAGAGGCAAGAAGAAGAAGAAGAAGAAGAAGAAGAAGGAAGAGGAAAGAAGAAGAAGAAGAAGGAAGAGGAAGAAGAAAAAGAAGAAGAAGAGGAAAGAAGAAGAAGAAGAAGACGAAGAAGAAGAAGAAGAAAAAGAAGAAGAAGAGGAAAGAGAAGAAGAAGAAGAGGAAAAAGAAGAAGAAAGAGAAAAAGAGGAGGAGGAAGAAGAAGAAACTGAAGGGAAAGTAGAAACAAACGAAGGCAACAGGAAAGAGAAAGCGCAAAATAAACATAAAGAAAAACGGAGAGAAGGAAAAGGGAAAGAGTAACAGGAGAATATCGAAGAAAATTTAGAAAAATGAGGAGGAAAAAAAAAAAAAGTCGCAGGAGAAAAATCAAGTAGAAAAGGAAGAAGAATCAAACGAAGAAAACGAATCAAACGAAGAGAAAAAGAAAAGAAAAGAAGAATAATCAGAGGAAGGAAAAGAAAAAAGAATAGGAAACTTAAAGAAGAAGAAGAAGAAGAAGAAGAATATCGCTAAATATCAAAAGAAAGAAAGCAAAAAAATCAAAGGAAGGAAGGAAGACGAAGAATAAGAAAAATGAATAAGAAACTTATATAAAAAGAGAGAGAGAAGAAGTCAACCGAATAAATAGAAAAGCGAAGAAAAAAAAGAAGAGAGAGAGAGAGAGAGAGAGAGAGAGAGAGAGAGAAATAGAAGAATAACCAAAGGAAAGAGTATAAAAAAGGTAAACAAACATAAGAAGAAACGTAATGAAAAAGAAGAATGAGAAGAAAACCGTAAATGAAGAGGAAGAGTAGAAAGAGAAGATAAAGAAAAAGAATCAAGCGTAGAAGTATAAAAACAAAGAAAAAAAGAAACAAATAAGAAACAGAGAAAAAGAAGGGAAGAAGAAGAAAAAGAAGGATAAAGAAAGGAATTAGAAGAAAACTGAAGAAGAAAATACTACTACTACTACTACTACTAATAATAATAATAATAATAAGAAGAAGAAGAAGAAGAAGAAGACGAAGAAGAAGTCGGATCTCTTTATTACTGCAACGGCAAAGATAACATCAGAGACAAGTATTAGGTTAAAAAAACAAGTGGAAAATTAAAAAACAAACGAACAAACAAACAAACAAAAACCAATGAAATTATTGAGGTCAAACATGATAAAAGAAAATATTGGCCATTGGCAGACATGTCGCTTAGGAACCTGAGCTTGTTAAATCCTATTGAAAGGTCTTTTATTCGCTTCGTGCATTTCGAACTGTTTTGTTTTTATTAGTTCAATCATTCGTTCTACGAACTTATTGCTTGTTTTACGCTGTATTCTTGTGGTAGCCGCGGGAAACAAAAATCTCTTATCATGTGACAATCAAATTCCTCAATGGCCGATCAAACAACTTCCGGTGTTGCACGACGGGAAATTTGCGTCCTGCATACATTTTTGTGAATATTTTCACGTGCTTAGACGTATGGATGTGAGCACGTATGTTTTTTTAACGTAAGTGAGTGTGTGTGTGTGCCTGAGAGAGAGAGAGAGAGAGAGAGAGAGAGAGAGGGAGAGAGAGGGAAGGGAAAGAGAGATATGAAAAATAAATCAAGGCAAGAGAGGCAAAAAAGTAAAATAGAGAATGTGAGAGAGAGAGAGAGTGTGTGAGAAAAAAAGAAAGAGAGAGAGAGATAGAGTGAAAGAGAGAGAAAGCGTAAAAGAGTAACCAAGAAAATAAGAGTGAATGAGAGAGAAAAAGCTGGATTGATAAATCGATGTGTGTATGTGTGGAGAGATAGATAGATAGATAGAGAGAGAGAGAGAGAGAGAGAGCATAAAAATGTAAGCAAGAATATGAGAGTAGATAAGAAAGAAAAAGTTGGATAGATAATTCGATAGAGACAGAGACAGAGAGAGAGAGAGAGAGAGAGAGAGAGAGAGGGAGAGAGAGAAAGAGAAAGTGAAATATAAAGTAAAGATTAAAAAAGAAGTAAAAGTGAGAAGAGAGAAAATGAGGGTGACAGAGAGAAGGAAAAAAGTAAACGCAAAAAGAGAGAAATAGAGAAAATGGCAGAGAGAGGGAGAAAATGGGAGAGAGAGAAAGAGAGAAAATGGCAGACAGAGAAAGAAAGACAGGAAAATAAAGTGAAATAGAAAAAAAAACGCGAAAGAGAAAGATAAAAAAAGAGAGAAATAGATGAGGATGTAAGTGAGAAGGAAAGAAGTTATGTGAGAGAGAAGAAACGAAAAAAGAAGAAGAAAAACGATAAAGGATACTAGAAAGAGAGAGAGAGAGAGTGTGTTTGTGTGTGAGGTAGAGAAAGAAAATTAAAAACAGAGAGGGGGAGAGATAAGTTTTAAGAATATGAGAGAGAAAAATAAAGAGAGAAAGAGCCAAAAGAAGTTAGAAAGGGAGAGGACAAATGGAAGCGAGGGAGATTATCAAACAGAGAAAAGATGAGCCCGAAGGAGACGGAAGAAAATGAAAGAGATAAAAGGAGAAAGACAAAATGAGAGGAAGTATGTAAGAGAGAATGAAAAAAAAAAGAATGAAAAAAAAAAGAAAAAGAAAATAGGTCGGGAAAGAGAAAAAAGAAGAAGACGAAAGAAAAATGAGAAAGATAAAAAGAAAGAAAGAAACGAAAGAAAGAAAAAACAAAGAAAGAAAAAAAGAAAGCTGGATGCAAAGAAACAAAGAAAGAAAGAAAGAAAGAAAGGAAGGACAAAAAGAAACAAAAAAGAAAGAAACAAAGAAAGCTGGAAAGCAAAAAGAAAGGACAAAAAGAAAGAAAGGAAGGATGAAAGAAAGAAAGAAAGAAAAAAGGAAAAAAAGAAGAAAGGGACAAAGAAAGGAAAGAAAGAAAAAAGAAAGAAAGAAAGAAAGAAAGAAAGAAAGAAAGAAAGAAAGAAAGAAAGAAAGAAAGGATGCAAAAGAAAGTACAAAGAAAGGATGTGAAGAAAGAAAGAAAGGAAGGATGGGTGTGAAGAAAGAAAAGAAAGAAAGAAAGAAAGAAAGCTGGATGCAAAGAAAGTACAAAGAAAGGATGTGAAGAAAGAAAGAAAGGAAGGATGGGTGTGAAGAAAGAAAGAAAGAAAGAAAGAAAGAAAGAAAAGAAAGAAAAGAAAGAAAGAAAGAAAGGGATGCAAAAGAAAGTACAAAGAAAGGATGGGTGAAGAAAGAAAGAAATGAAGGAAAGAAGAAAGAAAGAAAGAAAGAAAGAAAAAGATGGATGCAAAGAAAGTACAAAGAAAGGACGTGAAGAAAGAAAGAAAGGAAGGATGGGTGTGAAGAAAGAAAGAAAGAAAGAAATAAAGAAAGAAAGAAAGAAATATAAAAGAGACTTTACAAACGGTTACCAAGACTTCCAGAATACATTCTTCCCTTTGCGATTCCACGTTTCCCCAATTCCTTCGCTATTGAGAATTTTCTCCTAGCATTTTCTTCTAGAATTATTTGTGTATATTGGCGTTAGTGTTTATTTCTGTATCAATTTTTAACTTATAAAAATCCACGTCAACAAACGTGACGTGTACACAACCAATAAAAACAAAACAACAAATTTGAAAAAGAAATATAACTCCGAATTATTCTCTCCCCTGATGAAACTAAATAAATATCAAAATATGTCATATTTATAAAAAAACAAAACATCCCTTTTGTTTGTTTCTTATTTAATCATTTTGTCGGATTGAATCCATATTGTCATTTTTTTTCGGAGTATTCACCTTCTTCAGTGTCGTTCCAGGTAATTTTCAGGTAATTTCGAATCAAAATACCTCGTAGACCCCGCATACACGGGGTCGGGTTTGTCTACCAACCCAGACGAGACTCTGCCCTTCGTCATAGCCTCGTCTGGGTTTCTCTCTGTCCGGAGGTAGAGAGGTCGACAAGCAGAGTAAACGTAGGCTCGGTCAAAAAAATTCCTCGTAGACTCCATAATAACGGGGTCGGGTTTGTCTGCCAACCCAGACGAAGTTCTGCCCTTCGGCACAGCCTGATCTGGGTTCTTCTCTACCCGTAGTCAGAGAAGACGAAAAGCTGAGTATTGCCAAACCCAGAGGTTTGGCGAACTGGTATTTACGCAATCCTCTCTACAAAAAGTATTTGACACAAGGTCGGTTTGTATATGCGGCGATTCCGAGCCCGTAGGCTCTGGCAAAAATTCCACGTAGACCTCGAAAGACGGAATCGGGTTTGTCTACCTCCACGTACGAGACTCTGCCCTTCGGCATCGCCTTCTCTAGGTTACTCTCTGCCCGGAAGCGGAGAGTTCGACAAGCAATATTCGCAAACACAAACTAGTATTTACGAAGTGGTATTTATCTAGCCCTCCCCACCATACCAGATGTGACACAAGGTCGATTTTTATGATTCTCCGTAGATCCGGTATTAACGGGACCGGGTTTGTCTACCTCCTCAGACGAGATTCTTCCCTTCGGCAGAGTCTCGTCATCGTTTCTCTCTGCCTCCAGGCAGAGAGTTTGACAAGCTGAGTATTGTCATATCCAGAAGCTTGGCGAACTGGTACTGACCGGCTCCCCCACTGCGGACTATATGCGACCCATGGTCAAGTTTACTGTGGGAACCCGAGCGTTTCCACTCAGGCCACTAGGTTTGGTGAAATGGGCATAACAACAGAATTCTTCTGACTATATGCGTTCAGGACAGATCCATTAATGTGTGAAATCGATAACAATAATGTCCGTATCTCGTTTAGGAGGCACGGTGGAGTAATGGATAGCGGCTCGGATTGAGGAATACGGAGAGCCGAGTTCGAATTCTAGTTGAATCCAGCTAATAGCTAATCTAGTAAATAGCAGGGCAGACCGGTTTCTATAGCTTTGAAAGCCTACTTCGAAATGGCAACCTACTGCGGAAAAAACCTGTAAGCCTAAGCGTGTATCACGCATAGCACATAACCCACTGATCTGGTTAATAGTACCCCAAACGAAAACACAGGTACACGAGAGTAGTGAACGGGCTGTTTAGTCATGTGGATTAATATCAAAATACTAGCGATTATAGTAGTTAGTCCATCTTTCCGTCTCCTTTGTATCACCTTGCGACTACTTCCATAGTCAAAGAAAGCGTCCATGTTCAACACTTTAGTGTAGCGAAAGTCGGTCGTCTTTCTACACAAGAAGAAGAAATAAAAACGACATGGAACCGAAAAAAAGAGATTGCTTATTTTTGAAAGAATTAATTCCATGCTTCTTCAACAAGAGCTTATTGAACCAATCATAAAATTCCTTGACTGAGGAATGGTATTCAATATTACGAGAGAAAAACTGGGATAAGTTCAGTAAACTAAAAAGATCTGAGAAAATTAAGATTTTCTTTACTACTGTTCACCCATTGCAAATACAAGAGCCATTTAAAGTAGATGGTTACTAAATGAAATTGTTGTTAGGGCGTGCGGGGAGGTACCAAGAGGTACATGTGAGGAGGATATGTAGGATAGATAAAGGATGGCCCTAGACTTGAAGAGACGTTAAGATTATAGTGATCGGGAGATCATCTTCTCGGAAGTCCATTCGACAATTTAGGGGAAAGAAGCTGTCTCAGTTTAACTTGCACCTCCTCAATTGATTAATTGGTTGATCCGTTTTTTACGGTTTATCAACCCTTCGTAGGTTATTTAAAGCCCGAAAATATTTTCAGATTACAAAAAAAAAAAAAAAAAATTCACTTACACATAAATACACCTGGGAAACGTATTATTAATCTATGGATTAAATAGTAGGACTTTTATCGGTATAAGAATTTCTGTGAAAATTTTATTCTATTCGTAGGGTTGGTATTCAGCTAGTGTATTAGCAACATAAAAATCCCCATTTTGTCGTACGTTGCTTAAAGTGATTTGCTTGCCTGTTTGCAGGTTATTTAAAGCCAGAAAATAAAGTTGTTTTTTTTAGATATTGATAGTTTTGTGATACAAGTCATACTAATTAACCCATAGCTGGAGGAAGAAGTGGTGGATTCCTACCTTTCCCGAAGGCATTTACGCGTAAGTGAATATAACTGTTATATAGGAATAAAGTGTCACTGCCGACACTTTAGTTTGAACATAGATCGCCAGTGAGCAAAAACAGGCGATCCCATTATTGAATTAAGTGGATCACGTGACCATAGAGGAAACGCATAAGTAGGAGTTTGCGTGACGTCTAAACGATCGCTATTTCTAGTCTATCCTCTATTACTACACGGATCGCCATTTCTATTCTATCCTCTATTAATATACGGATCGCTATTCTTTATACTAATCACTATACTATTTCTCTATTCAGATCACTATACGGATTACTATTTGAGCGAGAATTATCGAGCAAGTACTATTAGTGCGAATACTATTCGAAGGCGTCTGACACCAGTATTGTTCAACGGCGTTACTATAGCTGTATCTGCGATTACAAAGTCTCTACTACAAAGAGCATTACGAAAGTGATAACGATTATTAGTTGGCATCACAAAACTGGCATCAAGCGTTCGTTGACATCACAAAAATAACGAACCAAACGAGAATTAGAACTCGGCTCTCCGATTAACAATTCCGATCCAATATCCATTGCACCACTCGTACATCCAAGCTTACATCACCTGGTGTTCCCAAGCGGTCACCCATCTAGGTACTAACCCGGCTCGACGTTGCTTAACTTCGGTGATCGTAGGGGAACCGGTATTTCAATTGATGTGGCCGTAAGCCTGATTAAAAAGATGTTGGTAAAATCGATAAAGTCTGATAAAAGATCATGTGAATATTCGAGATGTCTGCCATAGATCAATATTTAGTAAGCCATGTATCACATTAACCTAATTGCTACCGGGTGGGTGCTAATAATTGTGGCTTTGTTCGTTATTAAAGAGCACTGGGTGCCTGTGCAAGAATAATTTTTTTCGAGTGTCTTTGGTCACGCATCAGTAAATGTATGCGTGGAGGATTTCAACGACATGCATATATGCAACATTATGGCTGCGGAATTAAAGAGAATAGTTTTAAGATTAAAGATTAAGAAAAAGAAAAAAATCTCATAATTAATAAACAGCAGCAAGTCCCACTAGAAAGAAAGGAAAAAGAAGCAGGTTGCGGCGAAATTTTTCCATTGGTCCGTGAATTGACTTATCAACAACTTGCGAGAAAGCAAGATTTCCTGCTTAATAAAAATAAAATAAAATAAGGAGTTCTTCACAATTTTGCTTCAGTGAGGTAGCGAGCAGATGGTTAGGACTCCCCCCCCAAAAAAAAAACACTAGTGTAGGTAAGTTTTCGCACTCATCTTATCCTCTCCGTCACTGACAAGTAGTCGTCAATATTTCCTTGTCGGTGGACAATAAAAATGGCCCATGAATGTGCTATTTATTATTACAAGAAAACTTTTCGCCCTGAGAAAAGATAATGCAACTTTAGTGTATTGGCCTGAAGACAGCCGACACGGCCCACTTTGGAACAACTACTGTAGTTTACCAAACACCAGTTCGAAGCACATATGTTGTCTGACAATGCAACACTATATTTCGTAAGAACTTTCATGCTTGATAGACTGCTATTTGGGTTATTGGTGAGAAGGTTCAATCTATCGACATACTACCAGCATCCGCTTCTGACGTAGGTCAACATCATAAAAGAGGAAGCTTTACATTCGGAGCGACCCTTGTATATTATTTGCTTGTGCAATTGTCACAAGAATTTGGAGTACAAACATTTCCATTTCGCTTTCTAAGGTTTTCTTTGATTTAAAGAAAATGATTTTTTTTCTAGCGTGTCGAAGTTATAGGGGCAGCAATATGCCATTTGGCTTTATTTATTTAATGTTCTTTGCCAATATAACACGGAGGACATCTTGCGACTTTTAATGGTCAGTCTATCTGGATTTACCTCTTGCATCTTTGCGTGTCGGCACGCATACAGCATATCTTCTTCGAGCAATCGTGTTCCTGATTAAATAAAGCATAACACGTGACGTTGGAATTGGAACGTCTTCTCCGTGACATTTCCCGCGTCTTCTCATCCGGGTAACAATTTCTAACGATCGACTGCCAGCGGCAGGATACTATAAAGAGGTTTAGATGAGTCAAAGACTCATGCTAGTGTGTGTGTATGAGAGAGAGAGAGAGAGATAGGGGGTGGGGGGAAGAGAAATATAGATAGATAGAGAGAGAGAGAGAGAAAAAAAAATTAATATCCAAAGATGAAACAAGAAATTAAATACAACTCTTGATGGCGAGTGATGTTGAAAAGAAATGATAAAAAAAAAATCATGGCGTATGGTATGAAGAGACAGTCGTGTTCGTGGGTTGGAATAAAGAAAAAAAAGAAGAAAAAAATAAATGAATAAATGATTGAATGAATTTATTTGGGGCTGCAAAGAAAAATCACAAGGGGTGTTGAGATTTCGATTATACACACCCGCATTTGAAAACCAATAGTCCGGTGATGGTAAAAACAATTGAACTGACAAAAGATAAATTCTACCGTAGCAGCCGTCAGCAGAGTAACCCTTTAAAAAACAGTGAAATTAGGAAATAAAATGGAGAAGAAAAAAGCTGACGGGACGAAATAGAATAAAAAGAAAGATAAATAGAAAAAGTATTTTGGAGTCGGACCGATTGATTTGTAAACAGAAAAAATAGAAGAAAATTTAAGAAAAAAAATGAAATTGTTGAAAAGCTATAAATATGACTTGCAAGAGACAAAATGTGTCGCAATTCATTTGGAATAAACATTGTTCATTTCAACACGTTTCCATAAACCTGCCTTAGTTGACGTCTTCGTATGTTACGATTTATTTTTATCTATCTATCGATCTATCTATCTATCTATCTATCTCAGTGTGTTTTTATTAATCTCTGTTCATCTTTCTTTCTCTTTCTCACACTGTCACCATCTGATCATATCTCTACTTTCTATCTATCTATCTATCTATCTATCTATCTATCTATCTATCTCAGTGTGTTTTTATTAATCTCTGTTCATCTTTCTTTCTCTTTCTCACACTGTCACCATCTGATCATATCCCTACTTTCTATCTATCTATCTATCTATCTATCTATCTATCTATCTATCTATCTATCTCAGTGTGTTTTTATTAATCTCTGTTCATCTTTCTTTCTCTTTCTCACACTGTCATCTATCTATCATATCTCTCTTTCTATCTATCTATCTATCTATCTATCTATCTATCTATCTATCTATCTATCTCAGTGTGTTTTTTATTAATCTCTGTTCATCTTTCTTTCTTTCTCTTTCTCACACTTCTCACCATCTGATCATATCTCTCTTTCTTTTCTATCTATCCATCTATCTATCTATCTTTAGCTTTCTCTTTCTCAGTGTGTTCACATTTATTGTATTTCTCTCTCTCTCTCTCTCTCTAACTTTCTCTTTCTCACCCTGTCTCGGTGTGCTCATTTCTTTCTTTCTTTCTTTCTTTCTTTCTTTCTTTCTTTCTTTCTCTCAGTTTGTTCATATTTATCATCTTTCTTTCTCTCTCTCTAGCTCTCCCCCTCTCTCTCTCCCTATAGTTCTCTCTTTCTTGCACTGTCTCGGTCTGTTCATTTCTTTCTTTCTTTCTTTCTTTCTTTCTTTCTTTCTTTCTTTCTTTCTTTCTCAGTGTGTTCATATTTATCTCTCTTCATCCTTCTTTCTTTCTACGCTGTCTCCATCTGTTCATCTCTCAACCTCATATCTAACGGGAGCTTATATGGACAGGAGGGGAAGATAACTCTAGACTTAAACAGTTTAAGATTCTTGTGATAAAACTAACTAAAGCAACGTAAAACAAAATATGCTCATTTTGTTAACTCCCACCCGACGAATTGAAGAAAATTGTCACATTTTAATTAAAGGGTAAATGTAAAAATCTCACAACATTTATGGGGTTGTTTCGTTCCATAACTACTTTTCTACCCTTGAGGCACCGAGAGACAACTAATTGTTAAATAATTTTGATGGTGCTAGCGTCTTAGAAGTGAATAACTCCTGCGGTGGATTTCTGCTAATGCACAATGAAGGGCGGGGCTGCAGTTATCTCTGCAATCATTCGACCGCGTCATCTGAAGATCTCTGGGTAATTTTTTGAACTCTACATATTTCTGCGGATCCGTAGTCCTTTTTTTTTTTATATAAACTTTGGTCCAGGAATAGATATGATTAATTAGCGTCTCAAACAAAGAACCTCCTTTTATGGCCGTACTTTTCAGTTTTGGTCTGTTTTTTTTTTTTTTAAGTTGCCAGATTTTACATTGAACTCATCGTGAATATACCGGAAGTTACCGAAAATCCTGTGTACTCCTGGCAAAATCATTAGTCCTGTCATGTCAACTTCATTGGGGTTATGGAGTTGAGACGGCTTGTCATTTATTCCTAATTTTACTACATCTAAACTTAGTTTAATTTGAGTTCAGACTCTTCCGTGCCCTCCTTATAAGTACTTTATGGGTTTAAATTACTATTTTTAAAGTGGACTTTTTTCCAACAGAATCCAATACAACGTTTTTTACTGATCAGTATTTAATGCAATATTGAATCAGTAAAAAGAAGCGGACAAACAAGTAGTAATCTGTTATGTAATATCAGACCTCCTAAATTGCAGTGAATGATGGACAGTCTCATAAAGAAGAAAATACTTAAAGGAATAGAAATGTGGTTCTCCTGAAGGATTTTGAGAATGCCATGGACTGAACGGCAAAGGTTTAGAGAAAATGGAATCAAAAAGGAAACTTATACTTAACATCAGGATGCGACATTTTAAATTTCTAGGGCACTTAACAAGAAAGGATGGCTTGGAAAATTTGATATCCACAGGACAGTCTGAAGGTAAGCAGGACAGAGGGAAAACACAATATACTTAGAGCTTGAGTAAATGGAGATAAGAACAGGGTTTAGAAGAGATAGCAAAAAGACAAAATTTATTAAGAGCTACAAAGGAGAAGAAATTGTAGAGAGCCATGATCGTTTACGCCCTGAAGGGACAGGAAACATAGAAAAAGAAGAACACTTAATGTAGTCGCTCATAATATAAAAGTGTTATAACAGGAATAATATTACCCTTAGCATTGAGGAGATATATAATAAATACAGGATTTCAAAAATTAAACTCGGAATAAGTGAAACAGAATAATTTAAAATAAGAACATAGCTTTTGCTTTGAATTGTGGTTGAAAATTGCCGGCGTTAAACTAAAAATAACGCTTAAAATGGAATTTGAACGAACTTGTCTCATTTGAGTGAAATATAATTCAATCATCAAACGGTCTCAAATAATAAAATAAAAGATAAAGAAAATAAAAAAAAGTCATTCTATGTCACACTTTTCAGATAACAGACTTAAACAAAGAGATCTTTCAGTTAAATTTCTAAAATTTTGTTTTATGTTCAATTAACTGCAGAGCTAAACATAGATCCGTGGAACAAAATCAGGCAACAAAGGTTAGCACTATCGCCAGCAGCTGTTTTAACCTGAATAAAACGAATATTTAAATTCATATATATATATATATATATATATATATATATATATATATATATATATGCACTAGAAAACATTGAAGGTGAGAGTGAAAGAAAAACACAATACTGCGGAAATAAAGAAACGAGTGCGCGTTGGGAATATAGTTTTAAATGAAATAAGCAGACGACACAAGTCTATATAGGAAATAGAGAAGAAAGCCTATGGATCGGATCGGAATTACGATTAGGTTTCTCGGTACATTTTTCTACAATCGAGGTTCTTGACGGCGAAATTCTGTGAACAGTTGTAATTGTTTAAAAAAAAATACCAATAATAAAATAAAATAAAATAAATATAAAAACCGGAAATACAGAAACACGAAAAAGGAAAAGTCGCCATATTGGATATCAGTCTTAAGGGTAATCTTATCTCATTTTCGTAATGTTCATGAGCTAATGGGTTAGGTAAATAGCTAAGACGGTGGTAGAATAGTTGAATTGAATATGTGCATGCGTTTACATTAATATATATATATATATATATATATATATATATATATATATATATATATATATATAAAGTAAACGTACATATATATAGACACGCGTCCAACATTATTCATATATGAATTTACATATATATGAACATGCATGATTTTACTTCCGATATATATATATATATATATATGAAATGTATATATGTGGAGTCTGTTAATTATTTATGGATCAATTATATATATATATATATATATATATATATATATATATAATATAAACAAAAACTGTAGTTTACTAAATATCTGTAATGACTGTATATTATATCGAGGTATAAAAATAAACACCGTATATGCGTGACAATCAATTTTACAAACTATATATACAGTGTAACCCGGATATAAGAGAGTTGTCGGGACCGGAGAAGTCTCTTATATCCGGGTTTCTCTTATATCCGGGTTTGGTCTATTTTATATACATTAACACAGGCTCTAATTTGGGACCAGAGAAAATCTCTCTTATATCCGGGTCTCTTATATCCGGGTTACACTGTATATATAAAGCCAAACCTTGTTTTTTAGTGGATACCTTATTTGAAATAGACACTTTTTTTTTCAATCAGTGTATATTACGTCTATCGTCCTGCGCTCTTGCGAAATCTTAGTAAAGAAAATATGATCTTCTTCAGGGCTAGAACGTTCGTCCGTCTTTGTGGAAGAAATTACCGTCTGATCTGAACGAGACTTAGACCACTTGGCCAAACCCTAGCGAACAGGCCATAATGTACATATTCTATTTAAAATATCCTTGATGATAGCCAATAAAATAATCAATAGCGCTCGTATATATAGAACCCTCAGACAGTTATTACATATATTATATCCAAAAGAGAAATCACTTATATGAAAGTAAGACAAATTGAATGAAAACATTAATCCTAGTTCCTTGCCAGTCGTCATTGATGAAACTTTTATCTATATTTACCGCCAGGAAAGTTGACTCCCTGTTCCGCGCCAGGAAATTTTTCTCGCCGGAGTCGATCCTTCAAATTTACAAATCAATCATTCGCTCTTGCACGGAGTATTGCTGCCATATATGGTCTGGTGCCCCTTCTGTTTGTCTCAAGGTTCTTGATAAGATCCAGAGATGGATATGCAACGTAACTGGCCCTGATCTGGCATCTCATCTACAGTCGCTCTCTCACAGACACGCCGTCGCCTCTCTCTGTCTTTTTTAAAATACTTTCATGGTAACTGCTCCGATGAGCTGCTTTCGCTGGTTCCCAAACTTCATGAATTTAAGCGTTCTACTCGGCTGGCATCTCGCTCACACCTTTTCACTGTCAAAACTGTTAAATGTAGCCATCTCTTCTACTCCAATAGCTTCATGTCTCGCACCTCTCACCTGTGGAACTCACTCTCCTTTTCCTGTTTCCCTGTTAGCTATAATCTCCAACTATTCAAATGTAATGTCAATCGACGTCTCCAGATGCCTTGATCTATCCCCTATCCTTCTCTTTATCCTTTCCTTTATCACTCTTATTTGATCTAGCTCCTTGCGTGCTAATGGCTTCCCGCCTTGCTTGGGGTGAAACGCTTAAAAAAATCTGTTTGTGGGGGTGATTGTGTGTGTATGTTATTTGGCCTTGTTTTCGACGATAAATTCATTGCAAACACACACATACAGACAAACGTATCTATCGAATTTGGCCATGAAATAAATGACATTATAATCCTTCCATCCTCTCTTTCGAAGTAGTCTCCTTCGGCATGTATAGTGCTATCTCTCAAAGAGTACTCCTGTACATGATTTGTTTCCCGCAATAATTTTTCTCTTTTCTCTCTCTTCCTTTTTTTCTTTTCCTTGTGTCTGAATAAATTGAACTCCATTTATTTTTGCAAAATTTGGTTTGAAGTGATGGACGCCTGAGTACACGAAATAAATTTTCACCTGACCGAATTGATTTTTAAGGATACTGTATTCATTATTATATTGCTCTGTTCTTACATTGAGCTCCCTTTGGATTTATATCCTCCTTGGAATTATCCCTACGAATCATCAAATATATATATATATATATATATATATATATATATATATATATATATATATATATATATATATATATTAAGCATTACGCCCCGAGGAAGGTGTGAAGCCACTAGGAGAAGGGGAGGAGTGTTGACCGGGCGGTAGGAGGGTCTACTTACTCCTATTACATATAACACATACACCAACGACATAAAAACAAACAGAGGGATAAGGGCAGGGAAGTAGTTGACATAGTGCCCAGGCTGACACTAGTTGTATGTTCAGGGGGATAGGATGGAATTTATTAGTATTTTATCCTTACACAACACTAAGTTTTAACTTAGTAACAGTCCCATTGTTCTATTCTAAAGAGAGAAATGAAAAAATATGATTATCCACCTTTTTGCGGATATGGCATAAATGCTAGCTCACTTATGGCAGTGGGTGATATTGGTAGTCCGCATATATTCTGATGGTCACCAGTGAGTGATCCAAGTTAGTACATTTTATCAAGCAAAAGACAAGGCCACTGGACCATAAGAATACTGAAGACATACTAACGCCTGGTGAAGAGACAGTTTTCCCTTCTTTCGAGGTGGGGGGGATTTCCAACTACACAAACATATAGTGTTATAAGTTAGGTTAGAATGGTTATAACAAGTATCAATGTTAAATTAGTC